TATATATATATATATATATATATATATATATATATATATATATATATATATATATATATATATATATATATATATATATATATATATATATATATATATATATATATATATATATATATATATATATATATATATATATATATATATATATATATATATATATATATATAAATGAAATAGTATTTTCAATGGAGAAATTATTAATGGGGCAAGAAAATTTCATGTTTTGTGGGTAGACAAACAACATGTCAAATTATTGTTCCAACTTTTCTTGTACTAATAAGTATGAGAGCATGTTGGACGGGTCAATTTCGTTCCAAACACAATTCGTGAAAATCGAAACATGGGGTTCTGAAAATTGGAATGAAAATTAAAACTTCGTTCAAAATTCGGAATCAGAATTTTTTTTCGGAATCTTCATAAATTAAAAACAGATCGAAATCAGCGAATTCAAAAATTATATCTCATAATGCTACCGTAGACGTGTATAAATCTATATATATATTTTACGCACGATATTTATATAAAATATATTTTAATGTAATAATATGTGTAAATTAAAGATGAAAAATAACACCAAAGAATTTAGTAAGAGGAGCACTTTGCCACTATAGAACTATGAAATGAGTACACTATTCTAATGTTGGTACTTTTGCAGGCTTCAATACAATTATAGATATATATAGGCACGTTTTATTTGGAAATAAAGAATATACTTTTTTGTAGGCTATGGCACGATACAAACATAATTGACACTTTCAGACAATGCTTCAATTTTCAAGTACTTTGGTCTTTTTAAATCACCCCCTCATGTAAAGTTTATTTATCGAAAAACCCCTCAATTTTTCTATAATTACATCTTCCCTTTGGAATTTATAGATTTATTACATTAACACCCTTTATAGGGGTGGATGCAAGAAAATTACAAATTGTAGGGGGCTAGATGTAATTTCTCAAAATATTTTTTTTCCTTGTAATTACACTTTACTTTAGGGGAATGCTTGTAATTTACCCATATTTTATGGTCGACCGTTGATTTTGCAACCAGTCCACTGTGTTATTTTTGGGTGGATAATATCATTTGAAGTTTGACACTACAATTTACATCTAGCCATTATAACTAAACTAAAGAAAATAAATTAAATTTGGGTAAATTACAACCACCCCGTGAGGTATGATCAATTTACAAAAAAAAACCCCTCTTGTTTGAATAATTACATCTACCCCTTAACTATGATTTTTTCTTACACCTCCACCCTTATAGTATCAAATTCAACATAATCATCTAGATTTTGTGGAATGTGGTCTAGTTTGTACTCATTTTTTTTGTAAAAATACAGTTTCTGATGCATCACAATCTGATATTTACAAGCCAAAAAACACATATTATGATCATCTTGCTTCAAAATGTGGAGTTCAAATGGGATAAAATGGGTACAAAAGTAATGATATTCCATATAATTCCAAAGATTCCACTGAATTTGAAATCGCAAGAATGGACGTGTAAGAAGATTTATAGTTGAGGGGTGGTTGTAATTACCCAAACAAGAGGAGAATTTTCATAATTTAATCATACCTCAGGGGTGATTGTAATTTACCCATTAATTTTTTTTGTAATCGTATGTTAGCTTCGTCGCCACACCGTTACTTCTTCTTCTTCTTTCTTTTTTCTAATTAATTTTTTTAATAACTATTTGTAGAAAAATGACCACTATATATGCTAATATAACATGTCACGAAATTATTATTCATAATATATTGATAAAATGATCACTTTAATTCCATCAAGTGGTGCCACCAACCATGCACGAGGTACCACAACGGTTGCTCTTCATCATTGCCTTTGCACTAGATCCTGTCGGTTGTAACTTGTAACTTGTACGTATCTAAACTCTGTTCAAAACGTGCTTATTTCATTTTATACAAAATAATAATAAAAATATCTAATTCCTATTTTATTGTCTAATATTTTTATTCCAAAATATATTAGACAATTTGCAAAGAGAAGGTGATCGATACTATTTGCCACATTTGAACTTTTAGGATATGGTTTTAATCATTGAAGCATGTTTTAATTTAGGTAGTGAAAATAGTTTCCTTTTTTATGGCAACAATTCAATAGTGAAGCTTTCCCACTTATTCCGCGATTTGTTAATTAGAGCATCTTCAATGGAGTACGTAAAATGAGTTTCTATATCATGTTTTAGAGACTCTATTTGAGATCGACTTTCACGTCATAATCTTTATATGAATAAAATATGTAGTGAGGAAACTGAGTCTCTCTGATGATGTTAATTACTTAAATCACATGGGATAGTGTGGTAAATGAGTTGAGAGAGCAAAGTTGATCAGTAGTTCGCCAATTAGATGGTCCTGAGGTCCCTGCGAAATAAACACACGTGAACTAAGATGGGTTGATCCGGCGGAAACCCCTCCGACGCTCAAGTCAGATGTACGGATCGTGGAGATGGTAGAGAGAATATGTGCTCTAGAATACTTGTGAATAATAGAACGTACCTTAACAAATGTTTAAAAACTTCTATTTATATGTCGTTATTGGGTTGTGTTTACTTTATTGGGCTCAAGCCTTATTTTAAAGGTGTTTGGGCTTGGATTGTGTTTACTTTGTTGGGCTCAAGTCTTATTTTAAAGGTGTTTGAGCTTGGGTTGTGTTTACTTTGTTGGGCACAAACCTTATTTTAAAGGTGTTTGAGCTTTCGTGTAGCGAACCCAATTATTAGATAAATTGTGGGCCCATTGGATTGACCCAATTAGGTAAATCATTCTCTATTCTACAGTCTCAGAAAATAATCTCAAATTTAGGAAAAAGGTTTATAGACTTGGGCAAATTACAGCCACCCTGGAGGTAAAATCAAATTATGACAACACAAAACCCCTCTTGCTTACATAATTACAATCACCCATTGAGATTAGGTCAAATTACGAATTAAAAAAACGCATGGTTTACATATTACAACCACCCCCAACTATGCATTGTTTTATGAAAAAGCCTTTCAGTTGGTAGCTTTACATAAGGGTGTTTATCTGGTCGGTAAACCACGAGCCGAACGAAATATTTCCTTTTCTTTTTTTTTTTAATTCACGAGTTAACCCGCTTGAGTCGCCCGGGTCAACACGGCAGGTCACGGGTTTTGAAATGGGTAACCTGTAACCGCTTATCGGTGTAGTGTTCATTTATGGGTCTGGGTTGTGGGTTAGTCAATCGGCCGGGTTCGGGCTCTTCAGATAGATGGGCTTGGCCCGCTAGCAATTGCATGAAGAAATAGTAGCATGGGCCTCCATCCAGCAAATATTTTTTATTTATTTAAAATAAAATGGCACTTTCTCTCTCATAGATTGAATAAAGGAGGCTAATTCAGTAAATTAAAGAAATCTTCAAATTTCAATAGGAAAAAAATTAAACAAACGAATTCAAATAAAAAGTGCTCCCGATAAAATGACTGATATAAAAATTTCAAAATATTCCTATTTATATTCTGTAAATTGCAACTCAACCACTAAATTATCAATAATTAGTTAATAATTAACTTAAAGGGATCCGAGATTGCAAATACGGATTTCAGACAACTCATGTGCGAAAACGTTGTTACCACTTGTTATATTTATCGGAATATAAATATTCCTATAAATATAATTCTCAAATTGAACTAAAAATGTAAATCACATTATACTTAGAGCAACTCCAATGGGAGATATCAAAATGGAGCATTAAATATTCATTTGATACTTGATATAATACTTTGATACTTCTTGAAAAAAAAATCACTCCAACCACAAGTATCAAATAGATTATCAAATTTTAAATATATGAATAATTATATTTTTAAATGCCACGTGTCAAATAGTGATAGGTTAATTGGGTGGTTATATTTTTGATACCTTATTTTCCAGGAATTATTTTTGCACCTCCGGGTGGTTGAGTATCAAAATAATTCTCCATTTAATGCCTCCATTGGAGGAGGATTTTTTAATTTTAGAGCATCAAAGTGGTAGTTTTTTAGTTTGATACCTCATTTAATGCTTCCATTGGAGTTGCTCTTATACTGACTATGTGTGACGAAATAAATCTAAAATATTCTTAAAGTAAATATTTAATCAGTGACACCCTAATTTCAACAATATAAAAAAAATGTTATTTAAGAGTGACAACATTTTGTACGATGTCACTAATTAATTGCTTAATCTACAAAGATATATTATTCAATGGGCTAGTTTATAAATTGTGATTACATATAAATATTCAACGATGCATTAAATGTAGGGAAAATTATGGTCATTCCTGAGTTACGGGTAAATTACGAAAACCCCTTTATGTTTGAATAACTACAACCACCTCCACAACTATGTATTATCTTATTAAAATACCCCTCAAGAGGTAAATTTGGAGATTTTAAATTTCGGTATAACAACATTTCATACCATTTATCGAACTGAATATACAATTTGATTCGGTAAATAACCGAATATCATAATTTTATTTATATATATTTAAAATGGGAGGTGGATGGCTGTAATTACCCTAACAAGAGATGTTCTTTTTTAATTTGGTTATACCTCATGTGTGGTAATTTGCCCGTGCATGTATTTCACTCAATGTACTTGTTTAGAATTAGAGTTTTCCCACGAGTTGAACATGACCGAATTGCACGGCTAATTATTAGGGACATAAATGTAAATGTTGGCAAAATATTAAATGACAAACATCAGGCTATAATCTTTACACATGCACCCCCAACAAAATAAAAAATTAATTAAAAAAATAAATTCACAGGAAATTTACACTCCACAAAGAAAGGTAAAAAAGAAAAAAAAAAGTACAATACTACCCCTTATTAGCTCCTCTTACTGAAAAGCCCTCTATTCCATTTCCACCCCCCTCAATTTATTTATTTATTCCCAAAATAATAAATAAATTATAAAAAAAAACTTAAAAAAAAAAAACTAGCACAATTGTAATAATCTTACAGAACCACCGTTATATTTTTTTAACTGTGTTTCAAATATTTTTTACCACCACCACATCTGACTGCCAACTGCCAGCCCGTTTTACTGACCCACTTATCTCCTCCGCCCCACCTCTGACAGCATCTTCAAATTCCACCCCCGTTTTCTCAGCCCCCACTTGCCCCCATTTTTAAAACCTCTCTCTCTCTCTCTCTCTCTCTCTCTCTCTCTCTCTCTCTCTCTCTCTCTCTCTCTCTCTCTCTCTCTCTCTCTCTCTCTCTCTCTCTCACTCACCACTACTCCGCCGTGTTTGCCACCGAAGATGGCTGCTGCTTGTTCACCATTATCTCATAACCGCCGCCGGCACCACCACCTTCGTCTTCTTCCTCCTCCTCCTCCTCGTCATCTTCTTCCTCGTGTTCGTTGTTTTCACTTCCGTCTTGATCATGCCCATGCATTATCAATACAGAATCATGCTTTTCCAGTTGCTGTTGAGAGAGAGGCCATTGCTGTTCGGGCCGGGCCATTATAGGCAGCATCGGGCTTTCGTGTTCGAAAGTCGACGGGCCATGATTATTACTACTATGATTGGCCCTCTCTTTATATATAGCCTCGAGCTGGTGAAAGTATGGGCACGTCTTCGAATCTTCGGGCCTCCTCTTGTTGCTCTCCTTCACTTTCTTGAAATACTTATTTATATTCTCCCACTTCTCCTTGCATCTCTTCGAGCTCCTCTTGTACCCTATCTTCCCCATCTCCGCCGATATCTCCTCCCAAAGCGGGCCCTTCGGCCCGTTTTCCATGTACTTTAAGTCCAACCTCGTTCGCAGATTGATCAGAGCTTCCACTTCTGCTTTCGGCCATCTCGACGCGCTCCCTCCACCACTCGGTATAACCGCCACTTCAAGCGGGCCCGCTTGCTCCGTCGGCACTACGACGAGCGGGCCTGCTTGTTGTACCGGCGCCGCCGGCGCCGGCGCCGCCACCGCCGCTGGCGGCGGCGGCGGCATAGCCGGAGGTTGCTGCCGCCGCGGAGGAGGTTGTTGCGGTGGCGGCGGGTTATTTTCCGGAGGGGCTCGGTCGTCTGAGTGAGTTGCCTTCTGGAGGAAGGCGATCACCGCCGCGTCCTTGGCGGCGGAGATGGACCGCTCGTGGAGGAGGAGTTCGTGCTCGCGGTTGATCCTGGCAGTTTCTTGAACCCTCCAAGCCTCGTCCCTCGCCATTCGGTCCCTCTCGCGCTTTTCCAACGCCTCCAAGAATTTCTTCTGCAGTTCCTCTTGCTTGTGGACGACATCTTTCATTAGCCTCTCGAAGTAATCCTTCCATTTCCTCTTTTTACCCCTCCGCCTTTGTATTATATCCTCGTCGGACGAAGTGGATGAAGAAGAAGACGTCGAATTCAACAGCTGGCCGGTGGGTAAGTTGTTGTAAGGATGCGACGAGGGTTGAAAGTTGCTTTGAGGATGTTGTAGCGGTGGTGGTAATTGAGATAGCATTGGCTGAAATGAAGAAGGATTATTTATTGGGGTTTTTTGTGTGTTATTAGGGTGGACTATACTCAAAGGGGTTGGACTAATCGACGGCATTGGTACGATATTCGGAGTTCCGTTCGCCGGAGCCGCCACTGCCATGGCGGCGGGAGGCTGAGGACGTGGCGGTGGAGGTGGAGGGGTGAATGATATCGAATTGGGAGGGGTGTTTTCGAGAGCTTCTAATTGGTCGAAGAAACGGTAGCTTTTGCCGTCGGGTTTCGTCGATCGGCCGTCTTTTGTTCGTTTATGGTACTTGTACACGTTTTCGAACTTCTCTTTGCATTTCTTCGGGTGTCGTTGGAATCCGAGCTCCGCCATTTTCCTGATAAAATAAAGAAACAAACACACTCCATTTGTTTTTCTGATTTGATAATACAGCTCTTTGTATTAATTAACTAATTAATTCAATAAGACTAATGTTTAGTATTACTAATGGTGATTGATGAATGAACATTCAAATTTCAACACATAAAATAAAGGCATGAAATTAACTGCACTGATTCAACAACAATTAAAATAAAAAATAACAAAAATAACTCAAAGCGGTGGGAAAAGCCAAATCATGAAGTGTTCAAACAAAACATTTTACAAATTTTTTTTTAAATTAAATAAATAAAAATTACTTATGGTCCCAAAAACATATTCAAGTGTGAAGAACTTTTCTTTTTCTGGAAAAGATATTTCTGTAATTTCTAGACAAATCGGGAAACTGAGATGAATTCAGGTTGAAAGAAATAAGAATTTCATCATTGTATTCGTACATCTTTTCCTTTTTATTTAAATTTAATTTCGTTTGGCTAAAATTAGCAACAAAGTGACAAAAACAAACAATAACTGAAGGGCGAAAGCCCGGAACATAAATTATATTCCTCGAAAAAGCTGCTCAATTTTTAATAAAAAAAAAAAAGCAACAATTCAATGAAATTACGATCCTTTTTTTTTTTTTTTTTTGTTTTGTTTTTTTCTGCAGAAAATTGAAGAAATTGTTCATTTGTGAAATCATCTCCGCCAGCTGTATACACACCTCTACTGTGTGTAACTGTGTTTTTTCAGAAATTTAATAAATTAAATTACCTGGAAACTTCATCCCATAATGGACCTTTAAGACTCGCATCTCTAAAAGCAACATCCATATCAGATCGAATTTTCAGCAAAGCCAATGTTTCCTGCCTCGGCCACCGGTTTCCGCCGCCTCCGCCGCCACTTCTCTCACTCTCTTCAATAGCACCGCCTGGAACCGAGCTGGAGCCGCTGCCACCGCTAGCGCCGCCGCTCTCGTGTGCTTCCACCGCCTCCGCAGCGGCGGCGCCGCCTGAAACGCCGAGCATCATGTGTGGAGAGTACTGGTCCTTCCAGCTAGCAGCACCTCTCTTTTGCTCTGGCAGCAATTACCAGATCAGAATAAAATAAATAAATAAATAAATTATATATATATATATATATATATATATATATATATATATATAACAAAAAAAAGGAAAAAAGGATGGGGTGAATTATGTGGGTTTTATGAAGATAGGGAAGGTGCTGTGGTGAATTTATTTAATTTTTATTTCGGTGGGGATCTGTCTGTCAATCTCACACTTCTTTAAATATATTTATTTTTTTAATTTAAATAATTGCTGTTATTTTTCATTTTCCTTTTCAGCTCAGGAATCTTTCTCTCTCTACCCCTCTCTCTCTCTCTCTCTAGTAATTAAGAAAAGTTTCATTTCCTATTTTTATATATAGAGCTATCACCTTGAAATTAGGGTAAAAAAATTAAAAATTCTCTATCTACAACATGCACACACACACAATGTATTTATGAGAATTGCAATTTTGGTCCTCTGTATTAATTTATTGAATAAATCCCATAAAATTGTTATATTTCAATTCTATGAACAATAATTTTGCAAATTCAAAAATTTCGGGCTTATTCGCTTCAATTTCATTCTCGAACTCCGTTTGTAAACCCGTCTTTTACGAGATCAAAATTTATTAAGACAAGTTAAATTTGTTGGGCAAATTACGGTCACCCCCTGAGTTATGGTCAAATTATGAAACTCCCCCTCCTGTTTGGGTAACTACAGTCACCACCCTCAATTATGTATTATCTTACGAAAATACCCCTCCAGAGGTAAATTTAGGAATGTTAAATCGGTACGCCAAAATTGCATGCCGTCTACATAACTGAATATACGATTTGGTTCGGTAAATAACCGAACTACATAAATTTTATGTAAAAATATTTAAAAGGAGGGGTGACAGTAATTACCCAAATAAAAATGATTATTTTTTCATAATTTGGCCATACCTCAGGGGGTAACCGTAATTTACCCTAAATTTATTTGTCGAGTCATAAAACTAAAAATACTAGTGAAATAGGAACAAAAAACTATTTTTTTTTTATAAAGTTATTGCATGTAAACATGTAATATGACAACTTATAGGACTAATTTTCTAAATAAACCGATATAAAGGACTAATATTATAATTTCCGATATATTATAAGCGTAGCATGTGTCGTGTATGTGTATGTATAGGTGTATGTATTGTTATTAGTAAATAAATAAATGTATTTATTTAGGGGGTGGGGGTGGGAGTGGGGGGTGGCATATGGCGACGATGGTGATAATAAATTGATATTTGTATGTGCAGCTAAATATAGTTAAATGCCGGCCCATGTAGGTCACCTTTGCTTTTCTGGGCGTTTTGGATTTCAGTGGCTATCTTCTTTGGCTCAAACTCTGTGGTTTTTTTTTTTTTGGTTACTCAAATGACCGAACTGCCCCTCGTGTGACCATTGACCTTTTCTAATCATCGATGTTTTATTATTATTATTATTATTATTTTTTATTTTTCTAATCAATCATCGGATCATTGATCAGGGATATGCTTTTGCAAACGGGATTCTCAGTGTCGTTTGACCAAAATACCCCTACCATATAAAAAAATTGATAAATATCGCTGTAAATAAATATTTTAAGGGTAAAATAAGAGTGAATAAATTGATGCAGTGAAAAGAGTTTTAAATCGAGTTTGTGATATGTGGTTTGTTCGGCGTAATTTGGACCTCTAAATGTTATCACTTATGAAGAGGGGAGTTGATTTTTTTTTTTATATATATATTTAAAAAAAAATATAGTAATTAATTGTAGCTTGGAAAATGTCATTTTTAAGGGTGGGATCCATGAGTGAATTAAACTAATTAGATGTAGGCCATATTATTAGGCAAAGACATTTATGAATAGAAGTAAATTGTGGCCAATTTCTGTTAGGTTGCAACCTACCCTAATAAATGGTATATATGGAGTATTTCATCTCATTATATTTCATCATTAGAAAATTCTCAAGAATTAGCCCCTTAATTAATTATGTACTTAATTATCTATATATTGGTCTTGTAGATGTAAAATACTACATGTAATTTTTTATTTTTTTTATTTACTCACAATCACACACACATAAACTTTTTGTAAATTAGTATTGATCTATATAGTTAGAATATATAATCCGATGAAGCTAAGTTCATCGGAGTACTATATGTACATGTTAAATTTTGATTTTTGTTTCCATATTGTATGTGCAATTACATTTATATCTCTATAAATTAATACAGTCGAAATCAACAAAATTTTATTTATTTAAGGACATATTTTTGAACACGTCGTCCTTGAGTAGGGATCGGAAAAAAAATTATTTAAACAATATTATTAATTTATCGAAATATAATGTGCACGTAATATATTTCTACTTTCTCTTTCCAGGTAATTACTTTACAATACTTGTTTAATCTTTGATGTTGTCTACTTTCTCTTTAGTGGCTACCATGTTATTCTTTTAGAAATAGGAAGTATGATGTGTTTTCTATTTTTTTAAATTTAAAGTGAAATAAACAGCCAATTATATAAGTGCATTGAGAGTAAACATTCGTTCTCGTGTATTAACTCAGATTATACGAGAGATGGATGTCAACCATATTGGACTAACTTAAAAGCATAATCGGCCCACTCGTAAGATTTTTATTGCATTTGGCCCCCTCGTACTTAGGATCTTAGCTCCGCTAACGATGGAATGATACAAATTTAACCAAAATCAGTATATATAAAATAGGGTAAATTACAACCACCCCTGAGGTATGTCCGAATTACAAAACCTCCCTATTGTTTGAGTAATTACAACCACCCCTCAACTATAAATCTTCTTACATGTCCACCCTTACAGTTTCAAATTTAGTGGAATCTTCAAAATTACACAGAATATTATCAATTTTACCCGTTTTATCCTATTCGAACTCTACATTTTGAAGCAAGATGATCATAATATGTGTTTTTTGGCTTGTATATATATCAGATTCTGGTGCATCAGAAATTGGATTTTTACACAAAACGAGTACAAACTAGAGCACATTCCACGAAATCTAGATGATTATGTTGAATTTAACACCATAAGGGTGGAGGTGTAAAAAAAAAAATCATAATTGAGAAGTAGGTCTAATTATCCAAACAAGAAGGTTTTTTTTTTTTTTGTAAATTGACCATACCTAGGGGTGCTTGTAATTTACCCATTGAAATAAAATTAGTTTCATTTTATAGTGCCATCTATAATTATCGTATTAACGGAATTATTGAAAGCATAGAATGAACATCTTGTCACCAAAATACAATTATAAAATGTATTTAACGGAATTATTGAGTGCATAAGTTCAAACTTCGAATAATTTGATCATTATATATATATTATTATTATATTCAAATTGTCAACAATGACAAACTTATCCACCCCACTCCTAAAAAAATAGAAAATTAAGATAAATGAAAACTACCTTAGAAGTGGACCATCATAATCCCACAAATAATGAAAAACGATGGACCCATTAATTAATAAGCCATTAAATGCAAAAACAAAACAAAAATTACGTATTATACAATTTACAAATAAAATTGAAAGTTGAAATCGTATGCATTCACTGAGTAAACCTCGTTTTCATACAATAATCTGCAAATTACACAAAAAGTGTAAATCGAACTAGATAATTTATGTGCGACGAACTCGACCAGAAAGCATATTAATAAGGGGGTAAATATCGAATTATTCTTACTCCATCAATTAAGTAACTTGTAAACATATTTTTACAATCCTATATCATCAAGGGTACATTGGTCAAGAGAAAAATGAAGTTGTGAAGGCAAGAAGAAGGGCATTTTAGTAAAAATAGAAGAGGTTGAGGGGTGGAGAAGTAAGGTAGGTAAACATCAAAGGCGCAATTGGCACCGCTGATATTTGTCTACATTTTGAGGTTAATTGTACGTAATTTATTATGAGAACATGACTACTCACATCTACCTATTTTTTCTCTCTCTAAATTGATTGATTAATCATTTAATCTATATTTTATATAAATAAATAATTCATTGTGTTGAATAGTATATTCAACCACCGTATAATTTACTTGTTAATATCTTATTTTTTTAATTTTTTTGGTATATTTACTTTTTTCCAATGCATCTAATACTTTGCTTTCTTGAACAGTCAAAATACACATATATAATTTTCTTTTTGCCGCCACAAATTTTTTTTTAATGTTTTTTTTTTCAAATTTGAAATATATTACTTAGATATTTAAATTCAAAATTAAGAATATAGGTGTTGATATTGAATGCTCCAGAAAATAGTGGTACAGTACATGATAATGTGGTACCCCCCTTTTACTATTATAATGTAGAGATCATGGCTGTAAAAATGTTGATCCCAAAAAAAAGAAATATTTAATTCAAATAATTACAGGGGCCAATTGGGTTTTATTTAATTCTCGTCAGATAGATTCTTGCAATAAATAAACATTTTTTATTTAGATTTATAATTATAGAATTCTGATTTCTTAACACAAATTATGCCAGCTGGTATGATTTGCTTTCTTAGACAAAGGTGAATAAAAAACTACGATTAATTACTAATCAACCCGATATGTCCACGCCGAAAGGCTCATGTCAATAAGTTCATAGAGACACACAAATCAAGTTCAAATTAACTAAATATACAAGTTTAACTTGGCTGAAGCCCAAACTGACCATGATTTAAATAGTTAGGCGCAAGTTGCCTCAAGCGGTTTAGGTCCATGAAATTATATGTCTATGTATAAATAACCGGAAACTTCACAATCAAATGTACATGATTCATAACTCTCGAGCAGTCTTTTGAATTCTCTAAATTCTTCTATCATACAAAGTTGACTTGAGCGTCAGAGGGTTTTTGCCGGGACCAATCCCGACGCCCTAACGACTTTTTGTGATGCAGATAGTGCCCACGAGAGGGATTAAGAAGTGCGAGGGAAGAATTGTAAAACGTGACGTGGAACCGTACCACATCACAAACCGATTTCATTTTACTAGGGTAAATTACAAAACTTTCTTGAACTTAGGTTAAATTATGAAAAATACCCCCACCTATTCGTAATTATGAAAATCCCCCCAACGTTTATTTCCGTCTTACACCGACTCTTTACAATGTGATTTTTTTATGGAATACTTTTTATACAGGAGAATATTTCTCAAATACCGATTCTACTCCTACAAACATAGAAGATATTGAAGGTAGCTATGCACAAATGTTTAAAAATGCCTATGTATGCTATGATGGTTTATACTAGCAATCGAGAAAGTGTTGTGACATTGCAATGTCATGTTGCAGATAATGAGGTTCTTGTAGAAGGTATTTAAGAGATTGTTCTTAGAGGTGGAATCGACATTTTTCGGAAAAAAATCCTGAAATAAAAAGAATCCGTGAGAAATCACGCAATAAGGAGGTCGGTGCAAGAAAGAAACAAATATTGGGGGATTTTGATAATTACGGATAGATGGTGGCATGTTTCGTAATTTAACCTAAGTTCGAGGAGGTTTTCATAATTAACCCATTATTTTATTTTACTAGATTTGAAATAAATAAGTGCCGTGAGTTGGATTACGATGGAACGTCAACATCCGTAATTTGACAATAATTCATTATTCCGGGATTGTAAATTGGAATATCTTCTCTAAGTAATTTAATTATTTAATTTTCTTGACTATTTGATTAATTATGTTTTGTGGCTATATAATCGAATTTCAAAAACCAAAAATCAGAAGTGCAATAATTTAATTAATTCCGCATAATAAAATAGTGGGCACTTTCATAAAAAAAAACATGCTTAAATTACTACACCCACTCCTCTCCTTTTCAAAATTACATTTCTGCCACCAAAAATAGGTAGAAAGTATCTAAACATGCCACATGCAAATTATTGGAAATTGGCTAAATATTTATTGTTATACATGTTTGATATTTCTTGTATGTCAATATGCTTACACGTGTAAGTAAAGTTACTTTATTTTTATTCTAGTAATTATAAAAAGGTAATTAAATCATTATTTAAAGTGATCTCATCAATTAGTTAACAAGCATCCATGTTTTAAATTACTTGTCCCTTCGAATAAATTCTTTTTTGTTATACATAGAATGTAAGTTACCGATTTTCCAATATATATATGTTCCTTTTTTCATATTGGGACTTATTACTTCTAAATTCCTCACAAGTAGTGGAAAACGTAATTAATTTTTGGAAGGGTAATTTGGTAATATCACATACCTTAGTAAAAAAATCAAAATAAGTTACATATACACAAAGGATTAATTAATGAACATGGTAGGCATGTGATTATAGACATAAATCATGTGGTATCCATGTGGAAATAACCTTTTTTTTCCGATTTATCTGGCATTAGCCAATTATTATTACCACCCACCAAAAGTGGGATTATTGTATTTTTCATGTATATATTTTTATTATTTAACTGTTTTTTGGGATATATTTCCTCTTTTTCTTTTTTTTTTTTACATTTTTTTATTTTTTACATCATAATTCGTACATGCAGAAAAAAAATATTCTTTGTCACTTTACATGATAACATAATAATATAACAAATATAATAATAATATGGATCTTTCAATTAATATTAACTTATATGATATTTCTTGTTAATGAACTTTTGTTTAATTACCTAATCATGAATACATTAAAATTGCGAAAAAAAATCTACAATTAATATAATAATAATAATAAATAAATAAATAAAAAGATTGCATCCGACTGCTAAATTAAATATATTGATATACAAGACTGATCAAATATATATAATGCACGTAACTAATTAAGGATATCCAGAAGATCAAGAAATGATTACAAGTGTGTGTGTGTGTGTGTGGATATAGAGAAATAAACAACGTTAATTAGGAGTAATTAATGAAAAAAGCAACAGTAATCTGCATGTGGAGATGACCTAATTGCGCACTGATGAAAAAAGGAGAGATTACAATTTAGATGAAACATATATGTATGAGTGATAAAGATTTTGCTAATTAAGTAATTAGTAGTAATTATTAATAATTAATTAATTAATTAATTAATTAAGTAATTAATACGAAAAACATGGGCATGTGAACGTGCATGCAGCCAAAACCCATCATGTAATCCACATGCAAACTGTGTAACCGTTACAGCCAGCTAGGGTTTTATGATACATATATTTATATCATATGTATGTATATTAGCTTAGGTTGGAAATTAAATACAGCTAGGCAACTCATTCATTCATTCATTACCTACTCTATTTAATTAGCTGCTTAATTATATTAGTTTTAAAAGATTAATATTACTTAAACCAAAAGCAACTTGTATTTATGCTGTGTGAATATCTAATTGTTAACAAAAAGCTTTGTCAGTGTATTAAAACACGCTATCTTAATTGTATCGAAGGATACGACACTTTTAACCGCAAATGAGAATCGGAATGAAAAAGGTTGTTCTGAAATTAGATTTTTTCATATCAGAACTTGTTGGAATCGAAATTTCAAAAAAAAATCGAAAATTAGAATCTTATATGTATTTCAATATAAAAAAATCGGAAATGTCGAAAATTGAAAATTTTCGAGATTCCGAATGAAAAACATTTCCGAAATCGAGAATTTTGATCGGATCGAGCAAAACTTGGAAAAGGTTCCAATTGACACGTGTGTGTGTGTAAAAAGGAGGAAAATAAAGAGCATGAATTCAGAAAGTGAGGGCACATCATCTGAAAAAGAAGCAAAGTATAAAGAGAAAAGAATGGAGCAACTCTTTTGAAGTATAATAATACTACGAAATAATAATAAGGGCAAATTACGGCCGCACCTGAGTTATGGTCAAATTACGAAAAATTCACTTATGTTTGAATAATTACCGCCACCCCCTCAACTATGTAATATCTTAAAAAATACCCCTCCATAGGTGTTTAGGGATGTTAAATCGGTAAAATCGAACCGAAATTTCGGTACGGTACGCCAACATTTCATACCGTTTATCGAACTGAGTATACGATTTGGTTCGGTAAATAACCGAATTACATAAATTTTATGTACAAATATTTAAAAGGAGGTGGTGGTTGTAATTACCCAAACAAAAGGGATTTTTTCGTAATTCGGTCATACCTCAGGGGGTGACCGTAATTTACCCTAATACTAATGATAAATAAAAATAAGGGGGGATTACAACGACCTCCATGAGATAAAGTGTAATTACAAAACCTCCCTTCCTTTTTGAGAAATTACATCCAATCCCCTATAGTTTGTAAATTTCTTACATCCACCCTTTTCAAAAGGGTGTTTACTAGAAAATCTACAAATTTCAGGAAAGTGAATGTAATTATGAAAAAAATAAATGATTTCTTCGTAAATAGACCTTACCTAAGTGTGGTTGTAATTTATCCTAAAATAATTAAAAAAAAATAATGGGGGGTCCATTAAAAAAAGATTAGTGCTTGTAAAAAGGTGATTGTGTTTTAGGGCCCATATGGACCAAATTGAAGCACTCTAAAAAGCCCAAAATCAGCACTCTTTGTAAAAACGATGCTCAGATTCCATATGCCACCAAATTACAGCCCACCAACTGTTGTCTGAGAGAGAGAGAGAGAGAGAGAGAGAGAGAGAGAGATTGGTCTGATGTCAATTTCACAATATGCATGTATCTAATTAACTTTGTTACATTCATATGTCACATTTGGTGGTCCGAGTCACATATGGATAAGCTTTTCTGCTTTCCCAACAATTTATTATTATTATTATTCACAGAATTGCAATAAATAACCCAAAAGAGCTCTAAAGTCATTTGTAACTTTTTTAACAGATTAAATTTAACTTTTTCAGAAAAAGTGATTTATCTGCAACAATAATACATTACAGTGTATCAGCCAACCACAATCCCCTAAAATAATTATAAATTAATAAAAAAAAAACATCGTTATCACAACATAATATGCAGTTTTTAGGATAATACCCAATTTGTTCAATCTTATATGTAACTAAATATAGAAAGTCTTGCACACTGATATGATTCAGACAACCCAAAATACCCTTTTCTATACACTTTCTTGTAGTGTAATATAATGATTTTTTTCTTGCATTAAACAATTCTAATTTAAATACATAAAACGATATTTATAAATTTGGCAATTATTAAGAATTTCTGTAAACCTGGGAAACATACTACAAACTACTTACACCCTGTAAGAATCAAGAATCGAAACATAGAAGAGAACACATAAAGCCTGTAAGAATCAAGAATCGAAACATCGAAGACAATACGGGAAAACACAAATTCGTAAAAATGAAGCCTTTAGGTTATAAATAACGAAAGCGAGTTTTACAACCGTAAATCGACAGAAAATCCATTCTAGCATGCGATTTCTAAAATAGCTATATTCTAAAATGCTATAAACGAATGCGAAATTAATTGTTGTCGATAATACCCATTTCTTTCCGCCTTAGCTCCAAAGCCATTCGTTCGTTCTCTAATTTCATCCGCTCGATTTCCATTTTCATCATCTCCAATTCCCGATCTTGTTTTCTGCAAAACCTCTGCCATTTAAATCTCTCTTTCTCCAGTTCCAAAGTCTGCACTTGTATATGTAGCCGTTTTTCTTCTAATTGAACATTCCTACGACTCATCCACTGCTTTTGTAACGTACTCGTATTCGCATCTTCGTTCGGCGCTTGATTTTCATCGAACGTTTTATTGCAATCTAGCGCATTCAAAGAATCTTTCACGCCGAAATCTTCAAGATTCTCCTCGCTATGCTTGACCCGTTTCCCCGGCCCGCGACCCGGATCCAGATCCACAACCCGATTCTCGTCCGACCCGTCAAGATCATCAAACTCATTGCCATCACAGTCATCTTTAGGCAAAAGGGCTAACTTTAACGAACGCTGCAAATCCGAATCGTGAGGCAAATGCAACCTATTCCCATTATGGTAAGAACACATCTCCTCGTAATGCAAATGCTTCGAGCTAAGAATCTTTCTAACTTCCTCTTTGTTTTTTTCCGATATTCGATCCATCACGTCTAAAAGCTCCGGATTTTCGACAACTTCGCAAGAAGTACCCCTCCCTAAAATCTCGTTCAGCCTCTTGTACCTTTTATTGAGGTCGTTGAATTTATCCTCACACTGTTGAGGCGAAACGAGGTGACCCCTTTCGGCCATGGCTTTCGAAACCGACTTCCATTTACCCTTCTTCTGCAAGTTCGATAAGTTCCTTTTAGAATGTTCCGAAGAAGCTTCCTCGCTTATGTAAGAGACAGCTGTGATTAGAAGCCTCACCATTGTATCGGTCCATTTCACACGCTGCCATGGTGAAGAAGAAGATTTCTTGCCTTTTCTCTCTTCTATAACGCTCGGCTCATCTTCTTCGCTTGCGGATTTGCCGTAAATGCTCTGGTCGAAATCTTGAGTGCTTCGAATTGTGAGCGGGAAATTCTCGTGAATCGTGTGGTGGGCTATTGAGGAAGGTTGCCTACGGTTAGGGTTGTGGTGGAGGTGGAAATCGAAACCTCCGTAGGAAGGGTTGCCACGCATAGTACTTGGCGACGATAAATCGCCTTCCATTGTTCAATCAAACGAAGAAATACAATCTAACTTTGCCGATTAATACCTATAAACCCATGGTTAATTTTCTCCAAATCGAAAACCAAATTACCCTAAAATCCTAAATCGACAGAGGAAGTAACCCTAACTGCAAAAGGGAAACAAAATTAAAATTAGTATTCTGCTCCTACTTTTGCGGAGTGTAGGAAAGAAACCCGCAACCATGATTACACAATAATTAAAATTAAATAACTACCCATCAAAGAAAATTAAAAAAAGATTCGATTTTTATGAAGAACTTACGTCGAAGTGATGAAGCCCAAATCAGGACTTCACTTTGCAGCTGCCCAATTCCAATGATTTTAAAAAAAAAATTGACAGATTAAATACGTTGGGATTTGAGCAGGTGAAGTGGAAGCTAAAATTAGGTCTGAAATGGGTTGGTGAGAGAGAAGCAATAATTTGTAGAATTGAAGATCTGAAAAAATGCACGAATTTCCTACAGACAAAGCCAAGGGTCTTTCTTCAACAACGACGCAGTTGTCTAATTCGGCCAATTCGATGCCACCAGGTGGGTTCTCTCAACTCCCACTCATCACATGCCACGTGTCTATTTAAAACCCCTTTGTTTTTTCTTTTTTTTTTTCAAAAAAGTAAACCAAATATTACGAATTGAAATCGGCGACCCCAATTGAGAGCTGTGTGGAAACCCTAAGCAGAAGAAATCTGATTCGTCGAATTGAAGAACACGAAGCTAAGAAGAAAGTGATAATGGGGAGCGAGGAGGAAAGCGCGGTGAAGGAGCCGTTGGATCTCATTCGTCTCAGCCTCGACGAGCGCATCTACGTGAAACTCCGCCATGACCGAGAGCTCCGTGGCAAGCTTCATGTCTGTTCATCTCTCTCTCTCTCTAAATATATATGTTTTTGTGTTTGAGATATTTTTTATTTGTAATTGGGGTGAAATAATTAGGGTTTGGCAAAGTTTTGTTCATTGGATTAGTTGAACTAACATTCGTTGGGATTTATTGAATTCATGTTAAGGTTTCTTTCTTATTTATTTTTCTCTGTGATTTTTTTCACTCAATTAAAGAACTGTCCTGCTGGAATTTGTAGTAATAGTCACTGAACTTTTAACAACGAAGTTTGTTTACGAGTTCTTTTGTCGATCGGTTGATTTGAACTTGGCGATTTCAGCCGAGCAAGTTAATTAAAAATGCAACTCAATGTCACTAATAATCATAGACCTACTTGAACTTTGCTTACGTGTCTGAAAGATCAAACTAGTGATTCGTGTTCAAATTTCAGTTGATATTTTCCGACACAGAATTTCGAAGAATCGATGAAGTTGTTATGTCATATAGGTTGAAACAAAGTTCGACTAGGTTTAGAAGCTCTGATTTGTCTGAATAGATGGAATTTGATTGTCCAGTAGTACGCCAGATGTTGTATATGCATACAGTATATAATATACACATGTGTGCGTAATGAACAAAGTCCGAGTACAATTATTCTCTCTAATGTTTGTTCATTTACGCTTTCTTTACCCGTTTGAATGTTTTAATAGTTGACTACCCTGTTACAGATTGTCATTTTTGGACTTAATATTTCATTTTTTGTACGTGAATTTGCAGGCGTACGATCAGCATCTAAATATGATTCTGGGTGATGTCGAAGAAATTATTACAACCGTGGAGATTGACGATGAGACTTACGAAGAAATTGTCAGGGTACGCTGTTACGTTTCTCTTATGGCTTTATTCGTTTCACCTGCATTCATGTAATAAAGTAGGCTCACTATATAATGACTGCGTTTCTGGTAAAAAAGATACTTTGAGCTTCATTTGCATTCAACGTTGGATTGATCGAATATAAGCTAATGTTCAAAGTAAGCCTAAAAGAAATAAAAAATAAAAAAAATAACTTCGATTTTTTGTTGTAACTTATAAGTTATTTTTTTATTGCAGACAACAAAGCGTACGGTGCCGTTTCTATTTGTCAGAGGAGATGGTGTTATTTTGGTTTCACCTCCACTAAGAACAGCTTAAACGCATAGAGGATCAAGAATCGTTTTCTTTTCTTTTCTTTTTCTTCTAGCACTTAATCGAAGTGTGTAATTTCGTAATTCTGTATTCTCCCTATTTTCTTGTGTACACAATTACGAGTGTGAGTTTAGTTTTATAATCGGAATGTATTTTCTAAGGAATCGCTTTCTTCTATTACCCAACGGGAACTAATTGTGGACTTCGATAGTTAATTCATAACTATTTTCTTGTCTGAAAATATATTGCGCCGATTCTCGTTGCTAAGTCCGATCTTATCATTAACAGCGACAGTTTTGAACAAAAATATTATTCATTTACTATTTAAATTGAGATCCAGATAATCGTAATCAGTATGAATTGGATTTCGACTAGGGTTACTAGCTATTGTGCGGAACTAGTCGAACGAAACTAGATGTTTTATTCCAAGGTGTGGTTAGTATGGAAGTACAGAGCAACTGATTAGAATAATTATTCATCTTAATGATCTAATTTACAATTTTACATTGCTTAATTATTTTGTAATTACAGTAATTAATAATTCGCTAAATTTATAAGATAATACACATTCGAAAATTTTAAGAAGCCTCATATAATATATAAATTAATAATTCATAAAAACAATACTTTAATTACATGGTACAATGCATATTTTATAGATCTATGAAGGTTTAATAAAATATAATTAATTGTCGTTTGTTTCTTGTTGAAGTTCACATTACTATCAATTTCGTGTCTCACTTTTATTAACATGGTTAGAATTTCTAGTGTAGCGCATAACTCAACATGAAATTGTTCAATACAATTGCTGCTTTAAAAGCTTTCATTCGTTAAACGGGCTCTATAGTGCAACGAACTAATGGTACAATGAATAATATACACGTAAAAAAATTAACAAAAAACGTATTTACTGAAAATAATAATAAAAATAATTTCATAAATTAATAAATTATTAATTAATGTATAAATTAATAATTATTAATTTGTTGATAAGTTAATAGTTGGCTAAATTAATGAAATTTTAATGGTCCCAACTGTATTAATTTATAGAGGTTTAACTGTATACGTAATTAAATATTTTATGCGCTTCTTTGAAAAACTTATATCATTTGGGCCTTTTTTAGTTGCATTTTATTGGGCTTTTTCAGGTTAGTACAGCTTATGCTCGGGTCGGGTTTGAGATTGACCCGGCCCAGTACATGCTCATAAATCGGTATAAAATCCAATTACACCCCAGAAAAACAGACAAAATCAAATAAGCAGTTTGGACAAGAATTTCGAAAGACAGTTGATTACTGTTTATAAGATTGTTAGCTTGGTTTACCGCGTAATGCATGGATTAGTAGTCAGTACTCGTTAATTTAATCCCAAAACAGCTAGTTTTTCACCCATCAGATCAACTGCATGTTACCTGTTTGATAAAATGCCCAGCAGAGCATCGTTTGCGTTTGTTTAATCACCGGAGATGATCGAGGTGAGCTAAATCTAACTTCCTACATTACTTGTTTTAATTTGGATCATTTGGCCTCGATTCTGTGTTTTGTCACTCTGTTTATTTTAAAACTCTGATAATCTCTTTTGGTTCGATGATAGCTTCAAAACTCCGGCCTTGATGGGATATTTGACACACCGGAGTAAAAAATTGATTTTTGATATCAAGAAACAATGCTTCTCAGTAGCAGAATTTATTTCAGACAGAAGCTGAACATTGCCTGGTTTTGTTCTTTGATCGAAACAAAGACGAAAACGGAGACGAAAACCGAAATAGAGAGAATTGTTCGAATAATAAATGACCACCCTTTTCCAGACCAGCCACTGCATCTCACTCTTCACACTCAAATTCCCCACTCTACCCTCTCAACTTCTTTCGTTGAAAAAATCCTCGGCAACTTATTTGGTGCTCACTCAAACGGCCTCAAAGCCTACGAGCTCTTCAAATATTGCCTCAGCAGCAATCTTTACACTCCAACTTCCGATGCTTTCGAGAAAACCCTCCATATACTCACTCGTATGCGCTACTTCGACAAAGCATGGGAATTGATAAAAAGAATCAAGAAAGATCACCCCTCTTTGCTCACTCTCAAGTCAATGAGCATAATGTTATCGAGAATAGCTAAATTCCGATCCTACGAAGAAACCCTAGAAGCGTTCGAGAGGATGCAGACGAGTATATTCCCTCGGAGAAAATTCGGCACAAACGAATTTAACGTGCTTCTTCGAGCCTTTTGCACACAAAGACAAATGAAGGAAGCAAGATCCGTTTTCCAGAAAATGCACTCTCAGTACCCACCCAACACCAAAACCATGAATATTTTATTGTTGGGGTTTAAAGAATCGGGCGATATTACTTCAGTGGAGTTGTTCTATCATGAAATGGTTATACGAGGGTTTAAGCCGAACAACGTGACGTATAGTATAAGAATCGATGCTTATTGTAAAAGAGGGCATTTTGGGGATGCTTTAAGACTTTTCGAACAGATGGAAGGAGAAAATTGCGGGCCCACATTAGAAACAATAACCACGTTAATTCACGGCGCTGGACTGGCTCGGAATATCGCAAAGGCGAAGGAATTATTCGAGGAAATTTCTAGAAGATCGCTGAACACAGATACCGGTGCTTATAACGCCCTGTTGAGCGCTTACATCAGATCGAAGGATGTGACGTCAGCATCAGCTTTAATGGCGGAGATGGAAACGAGAAAAGTGGAACACGATAACGTGACGTACCATAATATGTTTATGGGATTAATGAGATCGAACGGCATTGATGGTGTTGAAGCACTTTACAGGAAGATGGTGGAGAGAGATTTTGTGCCGAAGAGTAATACGGCTGTTATGTTGATGAAGTTGTTCGGTCAAAACCGGAGGGTTGACTTGGGGCTCGATTTGTGGGGTTATTTGGTGAAGAAAGGGCAGTGCCCGCATAGCCATGCGTTGGATTTACTTGTGACGGGGCTTTGTGCGTGCGGGAGAGTCGAAGAAGCGTTTGATTGCTCGAAGCAAATGCTGGAAAGAGGGAGGCTTGTGAGTGAGAGAGTGATGCAAATGTTGGAGAGGGTTTTGGAGTTGGAGAAATTAGAAGAATTGAAGAATATGGTTAAGAGATTAAAGTTATTGTTGCCTCCTTCTAAACAGGATGTTTCTTGACTCTTAATTTTAGTTTATGTTGTCAAAATCAATGTTGGTTGGTACAAGTTACGCTTGGAAATTGGAACTAAATTTTCGATTTTCGGAACAGTATTTTTCATTCCGAATTCAAGAAATTTTGTTTTTCAATTTTTTTGAGTTTTTTTGGAACAAAATCGAAATACATGACTCTGATTTCCGATCCGATTTTAGTTTTGGTAAATATTTTATAAAGTCCGATTTTTTTTCTTCTGAAAATTACATTTATAATATTAATATTATTATGTATTTTATATAGTGTGATAAAAAAAATGGAAATTTCGAGTTCCGCCAATTCCAATCGTAAGTACTCGATTTTGGATCAAGATTTTGCACTTTAATTTCCGAAATTCCAAATTTCAATTCTTCCGATTTTTTTTATTAACCGAAACTTTTCGAATTATTTTTTTTCAATTCCGAAAACTTGTCCGATTTCCACCCATAGTACAAGTACAACAACGTTATAATTTACATTTAAGTAATTTTCAATAAATTAGAAAATCTAGAAACAATAAATTCAATGACATTTCATTTCTCTTCCAAAAAAAATAGAATAAGGTGCAAAATCAGATTTAGACAATACTAGGTGCATCACCTTCCCAGTTACACAAAGCATCAGACCACCTAGTCCTTACACAATCAACCAACGGCGCGTGTTGAGCAAGTCGAACCTCCGACACTCTACTAGTACACTTGTCGCTTCCGGATTGGTCCAAATGCGGGCCATATCTATCCGCCACATCAGCCGACAATTCCTCGGATGTCCACTTAGGCGGAACCGAAACCCTCAATCTGGTCAACCTAGGTCTTTGAATCAAACTATTCTCGTTTCCAGAAGAACCAATCGATTTAGCTATCCCATTAAAATGGTAAAGATCAAACACTTTCTCTCCCATTAATCCACTCGTGCCGTAATCCTTCATTCCACCCAAACTATTGTCCAAATCCAAAAGAACCTTCCAAAATTCGCTCCATACAGCGAAACCCGTCCCACAAAGCCGCTCCGTTTTCTCGCGGGTAAGTTTAATGCCCGTTTCTTCGATCACTTGATTGAATCCTTCGATGCTTACGAAGCCACCTCCTCCACTTTCGTCTTTAGCATCGAAGGCTCTTCGGATATGTGCTTCTCTCTCTTCGAGTTCGTTTTGCTCTTGGATTTTGGAGTCGGGTGAGAATAGAACCGTGTAGTGGGATTCACTCCCCACGACCCAAATCGGAAAACACGGGTTTTTGAGATATTGACCGACTTTGCAATAATTGAGGGACTCTAATAGAGTGAGGAATCCGATCTTTACGTTTGTCGAGATGCCCTTTAAAAACATGCCGCCCCCTAAATCCATATTTCCGTCAAACACGTTAGCAACTGCACTCCCGGAAAGTAACAGGTTTACGATTTCCTAATTTTTTTGGTGATTTTATAATGTCAAACATCATTCGAATCGTCATAAATAAAACGAGAAAAAATGGAATTTGTGTGTGTGTGTGTCTATAGACCTGCGATGCATGCCCGAATGGAGCGGTGACTAACGGTTGACTTGGGTCGTCCCTATCTTCTTGAACTGTTTTCTGACAGCAGCAAATATGTAACTATGTAAGATGTTTGTTTTTAAAGAATGTATTTACAAGAAAACGGAAGTTGAAAAAAGTAGAATAAATATATATTACCAGTCCACGAGACAATAATGCGGAAATCAAGAAGAGCAATGCTCCCATGCGGCTTCTGAAAATAGGAAGCCCGTTTTCGAGCTTTTGGACGGCACTGGACAGAGAAGTGCACGTGCTAACTCTCAGAACCTTCTGCAAGTCAGAACCCGATTCAACAGAAACACTTTCAAGTGCCTTTGCAATTACCTGTGTAATAAAGTGCCAATAAATTGTGAAAAAAAAAACGAGAAAAAAAAGTCGACAAAATTCCGAAAAGAATAACATGTAATGCGTGAAACTAAAAAAAACTCACCTCATCCACCGAGACTTTCTCGGACTCCAACAAATCACAATCGAGAATATTTAACGATGCTATTACTGCTGTTTCATTTCTTCCACATAGAAAGAGTATTTCGCTCATACTCCTAACCAAAGATCTGTTTCGAAGAAGCAGAAATTACTATCAGTAATTCTAACGAGTAGTTAATCGTTCGATTTTTTAATAAATCACGGAATCTGTTCGTCAAATAAATAAACTTAAAATATTACGAATTAAATCAATGGAGAAGTTCATTTTAGTACAAAACCGACATTATGTAATGCAAATTGCAGTTTTCGAAAGAATATTTGATTGATAATTTTCTTCCGTTGGAAATGCGACAATGACTACTACTTTGATATAACTTGACGAGCAGATTTACACGATCGATCTAATAACATCTCCAAGAAATGTTCAAAAGAAAAATCCTATAGATACGATATAATCTGCACTTGCCAAATTACAAAAAATGCCATTGGCATATAGATTCGTTATCCAGATATCTCTTACTAACGTCACAAATCAAATATCGATTGAGAAATTAACACTAAGGAAAGACCAAACACAACAGCTTTAAGAAATAGTATAGAAAGATTCATGACCTCGATTTTTCTTCCTCTGAAAGAGACTGTAAAATATCTGTCACCAAACATTCATTCTCGGGCACTTTTCTCGTACCCGAATTTGACAAATTATTCGGCACGACATTATCAGATTCCTCTGGAGCAAATAGAAGATACTTGAGTACAAAAGCCTGCAATTCCCACAGATTACGTCATTATCAGAAAACATACACCGTAAAATAAAAAAACATGTACTTCATTCATTTCGACACTTACCTGTATAGCAGCCAACACGCCACACGGCCCACCTTCGTGCTGTACTAGCCCCATTGAAGTTTCTGGATCTTCACTAAACCTGCAAATGGAAGTCAATCACCACCCAAGCCAGACAAGACGATACAACGAGAATCTCGTTTTTTTATACTAGCAAACAAATCTTAACTAACTAAGATCCAATAAAGACACAAACATGTACATGCTCTTTAAAAGTAGTGCAACAAATCGATAATCCCATTAACACTCGATTCCGAAATTTTCCACCTCTTCTTTCAATTATACGAAAAATCGACAATTAATTATCAACTGTTCATACAAATTCTTACCTAATTCCCTGATTAGTCCACTGTGCAAGCACATTCCGACTAACTCTGTCACCGAAAATCATCACGAAGAGCTGATTAGCCTCCGTCAAAGATAACTCCGTCTCAGAAATTCCACTTGCTCCGTCAATTTTCTCCAAGCTCGCGCCTTCGCTTTTACCCTCATCTTCAAAACCCCTTAATTTCACATCCGCGGCCTCATTTCCGGCGCCGGAGTTGCTCCTCTCCGGCCCCGGCTCCGGCGAATCGTGATGCTGCATACTTAGTCTCAGCGCCAATTTGAAATCCTCCTCCTCTTGATCCGCCATTGGAAAAACAATCGAACTCGATCGAACAATTAGGGTTCTAACTGGATTTTCGTTGACTCGTCTATATACAATACAGCATTTTCCTTATACACGATGTACAATATATAAACAATATATGCGCAAATTAATTGAATTTAGTAAACAAATATCTTGAAATTGACAGCAAGCATGAAGAAGATTGATGTGTAGAGATATCTGATATGCAAAATCGAGAACGGTAGTATGGAATTTAAACCAGTAATAATAACGGAATATTTTCAGAGTTGACGAGGGAGTTCCATACGGCGACGTTTTGAGCAAGTCCTAAATGAAGACTAAGATAGTAATTTGTCCGGTCTGGGTCGGGTTATCATACTAATTAGGCCATTAGTTTGGCCCGCTTAGCAGCTTAGTAATATGGGTTTGGGCCTAGGATTTGAGTATTCAATTTTAATGTCAAATGCGTTCTCTCTCTTTTTTTTTTTTTCCTAATTTATTTGGAAATAGGGCGAAAACGAATCGATTCGAACGAATGCATGATTGTCCAAGTTGATTTGAATATTTATATAGCTTAAAAAGGTCGTGCAATAATTTGGCTTGATAAGCAATTGAGTCGAGCAACCTGAATCATCGCATATTAATGTGATATATAAAAATTACATTAACACATTTTGGTCTAATGTCTGAAAAGTATAAAAAAATCAATCCTCTCAATTTAAATAATTATTAAAAAAATTAAAAAAAATTAAAAAAATTGTGATTGCCGTCGTGAACTATGCTTTCTCGTTATCTTGAACTTTTTTTATTTAAATTGGGAGGTGACATTTTTTTAATTTCAGAGCTTAGAAACGATGTTAAGGTCAAATATCGTACAACTAACAGCGAGGGCCCACTGTGAGACAATTTTTCAAGTACATGGGGCAAATCAATGCAAAGTAGAAGGGGTAAAATGATGCCGAACCAAAGCAAAAGGGGAAAGTGAAAATTGCTCATTTTTTTCATATAAATTGTTTGTCAATTACTATATTTCAAGGAAATTACGTAAATGTACTGTCAATAACAGTAATTAATGTCAGCAAATTACTGTTATTGACAATACAATTACGGTCAACGTTCAGCGGCGAGTGTAAAAGAAAAGGATAAAAAATTTAGGAGAAAAAGGAAATTAAAAAATCGAACGACAGGAACCGACGGCAAAAAAAAAAGGTTCATAAAAATATTCAAAAAAAAAAAAGTCAAATTAGATTTGTGGCAAAATTGATTAAGTTAAAGTCAAATTAGGGTTGCAATTAGAAATTGAGTTTAAAAATTAAGGTAATTTTATCATATACATTAATTTTGATTTTAATTATAATAAATATTAAACGAATGAGGTTGTAGTAAAAAAATAGTTGACAAGGGATTTACTCATAATAACCACTATACATAAGCCTAGGTTTCCATTTCCCTTTTCCCATTTACAATTTCCCATTTCAATTTCACGTTTCACGGCATCTCAAGGCAGCTCAAGATTTTACCCTTCATATTTTCAAGCAACAATTCACGGTATGTGATTTGATCTTTTATCAATATTTAATCTTCTATTAAATTTATATTTATTGATAGTTTTTCTTCTTCAATGCTTTACATATAATACAAAACTTTAGAGATTTAACATTTATTTTGATAATTAATGCTTTTATTCATCAAAACAATGGCGTGTGGCTGATTAAATTACCTAACTCTATGTCCATCACGTATTGTCAACAGAGTAGAGAATTCGTCGTCATTGTGGTGGTGGATTACCGGCGAAAATTTGGGCGTATGGGAATGGTAACTGTCGGTGGTGTCCGGCGGCAGGTGATGGAGGATTACCGGCGGAAATTGGGGCGTATGGGAATGGTGACCGTTGGTGGTGTTCGGCGGCGGGTGGTAGTGGATTACTGGCGGAAAATGAGGGGTATGAGGATGGTGACAGTTGGTGGTGTCCGGCGGCGGGCGACGGGTGGTGGTGGTGATGATCCGAGTTAAGTTTACGGACAATATTACCCTCTATTAACAAGGATGCTCTGTCTTTACCTATATTTTCGAAGTTTATTTCGTTGCAGCACATAAGGATGCTTTGTCTTTATCTATTTTCTGAATTTACTTTGTTGCAAAACGCAAGGGTGCTTTGTTTTTACCTTTCTGAGTGTTTTCGTCGCAAAACATAAGGATGCTCGAGTCCCTTGTAAGATCGGACTTATGCAGAAATTAACAAAATACCAAATAATCAATCTTAGCAGCTGAAATGGTAAAGTGGTGTGTATCTAACATATATAACTGTCAATGTTATGTGACAAAAATGCAAAGAAGAAACGGAAGGTAACTCATAAAAATCTATAAAAGAGGTAAGCGTAACTCACAAGAAGAAAATAGATTTTGTATGAACTGTGTTATGGTATGCTATGATTAGTTTCTGAAAGGCGTATACAGAAAATTGATGTTTTGAGTATGAGTGTGTAGCAAGCAAAATGTATATATGTATATAAGTCGTGCATTGTAGAAAATCATGCCACAACTTGAACTCTCTTTGCAAAATGAGGTTTCACGCATACATTGTCATGGGCCGGTTCACGGTTCACTTTTTCAGAAACCAGAACCGCCACGTAGAGCATACAGTTCATCGGGTTGGGCCGCCCCCCCGGTTCACTCCAGTTCCGGGCCTATCCAGGTAGGTTTCTGATTTGTACCTATAAGTTACCAAATACACCAATTAATATAGAAATGAAACAGCAGTTATAGCGTCGTTAAATATTCTCGATTGTGATTTGTTGGAGTCCGAGAAAGGCTCGGTGGACGAGGTGAGTTTTTTTAGTTTCGCACATTACATGTTACGTCCTTTTCGGAATTTTGTCGAATTTTTTTTTTTTCTCGTTTTTTTTTTCACAATTTATTGGCACTTTATTACACAGGTAATTGCAAAGGCACTTGAAAGTTTTTCTGTTGTATCGGGTTCCGACTTGCAGAAGGTTCTGAGAGTTAGCACGTGTACTTCTCTGTCCAGTGCCATTCAAAAGCTCGAAAACGGGCTTCCTATTTTCAGAAGCCGCATGGGAGCATTGCTTTTCTTGATTTCCGCATTATTGTCTCGTGGACTGGTAATAAATATTTTTTCTACTTTTTCAACTTCTGTTTTTCTTTTAAATACATTCTTTAAAAACAAACATCTTACATAGTTACAATATTTGCTGTCAGAAAACTGTTCAAGAAGATAGGGACGACCCAAGTCAACCGTTAGTCACCGCTCCATTCGGGCATGCATCGCAGGTATATATATATATATATATATATATATATATATATATATATATATATATATATATATTGAAAATAATTGATGAATAAATAAATTAAAAGAATTACTTTTAAATAGGAAAAAAAACAAAATGAAAGGACTTGAACTTTATTTTATAGGGAAAAAGGGGGGGGGGGGGGTGTCAGATTCAAAAAAGAAAAAAAGAAAATAACGGTCGGTTCACTAGCTGTCACAACTTTTTTCGGCCTTTTTCGGTTTTTTTTCTTTTTGTTTTTTTAAATTGGGGTGAACCGCCGGACCTGCCCGACGGTTCACGGTTCACATTATTCTAGAACCGAGCCCGTCCCTAGGGACACCGTTTGGTCTAATGTCTGAAAATTACAAACAAATCACTCCTCCCAGTTCAAATAATTATTAAGAAAATTAAAAATAAAATTAAACGAATTGTGATTGCCGTCGTGTACTATGCTTTGTCGTTGTCTTGAATTTTTTTTATTTAATTTAAACTGGGAGGGGTGGCGTTTTTGTAATTTCAGAGCTTAGATCAAACGATGTTAAGATCAAATGTCTTAGAAATAACAGCGAGGGCCACAATGAGACAAATTTTTCAAGTACAAGGGGCCAAATCGATGCAATCGAGAGTAGGTGTAAAATGAAACCGAACCAAAGTACAAGTGTTAAAAATGAAATTTGCCCATTTTTTATATAAATTATTTGTCAATTACTATATTTCAATTAGGGATTCAATTAGGAATTGAGTTTAAAAATTAGAATAATTTTGTCATATACATTAATTTGACTTTAATTATAATAAATATTAAAAGGATGGACATGGGCTTATTGGAGAAAAAATGTTGATAAGGCCCTTAGTCGAATATACCACTATTTAGTAAACACAACCCTAGTTTCCCAATTCCCATTTCCCATATCCCATTTCTCATTTTACATCGTTTCTCGACAGGAGCTGAAGATCAGCTTTCATATTTCCAAACAATCACATTTCCCATATCCCATTTCTCATTTTACATCGTTTCTCGGCAGAGCAACTGAAGATCAGCTTTCATATTTCCAAACAACAATTGAAGGTGTGTGATTTGATTTTGTATCACCGTTTAATCTTCTATCCATTTTACTTTTATCAAATAGTTTTTTTCTTCAATATTTTACATATAATACAAAACCCTAGAGATTTAACAGCTATTTTGATAAATAATCCGCTTATTCATCAGAACACATCAGCTGAGGATTTGCCTTCATATTTCCAAACAACAATTCAACGTGTGCAATTTAATTTTGTATCACTATTTAATCTTCTATCCATTGTACATTTATTAAATAGTTTTTTTCTTCAATATTTTGCATATAATACAAAACCCTAGAGATTTAACATGTATTTTGATAAACAATCCGTTTATTCATCAGAACACATCAGCTGAAGATTAGCCTTCATATTTCTGAACAACGGTTCAATGTGTGATTTGATTTTGTATTACTATTTAATCTTCTATCTATTTTACATTTATTAAATAATTCATTTCTTCACTATTTTATATATAATACAAAATCGTAAAGATTTAACAGCTATTTTGATAAATAATCCGTTTACTCATCAAAACACATCACCTAAAGATAAGCCTTCATATTTCCAAACAACAATTCAAGGTGTGTGATTTGATTTTGTATCACTATTTAATCTTCTATTCATATTACATTTATTAAATAGTTTTTTTCTTCAATATTATACATATAATACAAAACCCTAGAGATTTAACAGCTATTTTGATAAATAATCCGTTTATTTATCAAAATATATCAGCTGAAGATTAGCCTTCATATTTCCAAACAACAATTCAAGGTGTGATTTGATTTTGTATCACGATTTAATCTTCTATCTATTTTACATTTAATAAATAGTTTTTTTCTTCAATATTTTATATATAATACAAAATCCTAGAGATTTAACAACTATTTTGATAAACAATCCGTTTATTCATCAAAACACATCAGCTGAAGATTAGCCTTCATATTTCCAAACAATAGTTCAAGGTGTGTGATTTGATTTTGTATCACTATTTAACCTTCAATCCATTTTACATTTATTCAATAGTTTTTTTCTTCAATATTTTAAATATAATACAAAACCATAGAGATTTAACAGCTATTTTGATAAATAATCCGTTTATTCA